TTAATTAACACTAGTGGCACCTATTGAAGCCTGTAACTGTTGTTCCATAGTTTTAGGTCCTAGGCTACACTAGTCCTGTGATTTGTGTTGTTGAGTAGCAAATTGTAAACATACATTTAAAGGTTCTGCTAAGGTAAAAGCTTCAAAACAAAGGGGTGTTGAGGTACTTCAGCTTCTGGCTTTCTGGAAGTTTCCGTACCTATGCTACCTGCTTGTGTTATAAAACTAGTATCTACATGAAATATGTTCTAATGTAACAGTCATTAGCTAAGCATCCTATTCACCAGTTAAGCAACAGCATGGAATATCATTTCTCATCAAGTAATAGGAAAAAGAAGTATGTTTTTTACATTCTAGCTCAACTGTTTTCATAATCTTACTGACCGTGCTTTTTTTTGGAGGTTAATGTTAGTGTTTCCCTAAGACAGCTTTGTAGAACTGTCAAGGAAGATTGGCTTCCTGCTCCTTTACAAATTATTGGGGCTTGTCAAGTGTTGGTTACTTGGAAGTGTTGGACTGAAGGTCTCTTTTTAAACTGCTAAAAAAAGTGAACATTGTGGAGGGCTTGGGTGATATGTATGATTTCTGTAGCAGTATACTCTGTTTCTGAAGAAATGAGAGGAGAATTGGAAGTAGTTATTTAGTTTACTTGCTCTTTTGACCGAATTCTTAAACATCAGTCGCATATATGACTTCAGTTAAATTGTGAATGTTTCTTTCATCAGATTTTCTTCTACAAGCCTAAATTGTGGTGGCCGAATGGCATGGGAAAGCAATATCTCTACAATGTCGAAATAACAATTGAGGTCAAGGGCTTTGGAGAGTCAGATTTGTGGAGCCAGCCTTTTGGCTTTCGCAAAATTGAGAATCATATAGACAGTGCAACCGGAGGAAGGTAAAACTTATTGCTGAGCTTTCTTCTTCGGTCGCTTTCTCTCTATCATATTGAACAGCTGGATTAGACTTATATATTGCTTTTGGTTTCTTGATCTTGGGGCCTTGACCTTTGTCCATCTGCTCCTTAGGTTGTTTAAGGTCAATGGAGAGCCAATATTTATCCGTGGAGGTAATTGGATATTGTCAGATGGACTATTGCGGCTCTCAAAGAAACGTTATCAAGCAGACATTAAGTTTCATGCTGATATGAACTTTAATATGATCCGCTGTTGGGGTGGTGGACTAGCAGAGAGGCCAGATTTTTATCATTACTGTGATATGTATGGGATTCTGGTACATACTTCTCTCTCCAAATTATGTGCATTTAAATAAATGTGGTTTCGCTGAGACAGTTTACATATCTCATTCAAAGTTCCTGACTGCTAGTTTCATGCCTTTCTTGTCATTGGCTTTGAAAGAATGGAACTTACCATACCATGAACAGAATCCTAGCCAGGATGATACGAGATAAGGGTTTCCTACTTTCTCTTTTTCACCTTCTTGATGCATTGCTTGGGTCTGAAATGGCACTAGTAGCGCACTTGCTCCTTCTTTTGAAAAAGAAACTGTCAGTGCTATTCTGCTTCACGAGCAAGGAGCGAGAGAATGAAGTGTGCTGTGATGATGTCAGAATTGGCACCTAATCTACCTATTTAGTGATCAATCTGCTAGTTTCTTTGATCCCATTTGTAGTTTCTCTTCCATTTGCTTCCAGGCTTCTTCATGCATATTGGCACCTAATCTACCTATTTAGTGATAAATCTGCTAGTTTCTTTGATCCCATTTGGAGTTTCTCTTCCATTTGCTTCCAGGCTTCTTCATGCATATTTTTTGACCCTGTTCAATGGGGATGACATTGTTGATAACTCTTGGTATACTTTTTTTTTAGTACAGTTATTAGGTAGCTCATGTATGCCAGATCTTTTCTTTTTCGTTAAGAATTGTTAATAACCTAAATTTGAGTTATCCCAGAAGTAAAATGATGTACATCAGAATTTCTGCTGCTACTGTTAGATCACCTTTACAATAGTAGGATGGGCTTTCAATCAGTTTTAGAGAAGGATGTAGATGTTAAAATTTCATCCCGTTCATTCAATATTGTATGGTTCTGGAGAACTAGAGTATATCTTTTATGGTTTACTTAAAGCATGCTTTCAATGGAAGTAAGAGTTCACAATTTAAAAAAGTACCATAACATGGATTATTGTCTTTTCCATGTCATGCTGTGTGCTTGTGTGTCCATGAGTGCCTGTGTGTAACAGATAGATATATTGATTGATTAATAGACATAGTAAGTGGATGATGGAGAGAAAAATTTGATTGTTTGACCATCCTTGTAGGTTTGGCAAGAATTTTGGATAACAGGAGATGTTGATGGACGAGGTGACCCCATCTCAAACCCAGATGGCCCACTGGACCATGACCTCTTCTTACTTTGTGCAAGGGATACTATCAAGCTTCTAAGAAATCATCCTAGTCTTGCTCTGTGGGTGGGGGGCAATGAACAAGTTCCACCGGAGGATGTAAATTCAGCTCTGAAAACTTACCTAAAGCTCCACCCTTATTTTGAAAATTTGAACAGTGATGACATTTCAAAAAGAGAACTTTTCCCTGTATTGAAGGACCCTAGTCAGTATCTTGATGGTACGCGTGTTTATGTCCAAGGATCTTTGTGGGATGGATTTGCAGATGGAAAAGGAGATTTCACAGATGGCCCTTATGAAATTCAAAATCCCGAGGATTTCTTCAAGGAGGATTATTACGAGTATGGATTCAATCCTGAGGTTGGTTCTGTGGGGATGCCTGTGGCAGCTACAATTAGGGCAACAATGCCACCTGAAGGGTGGGATATTCCTTTGTTTATAAAGCTGCCAGATGGCTATGTACAGGAAGCTGCAAATCCTATATGGGAATACCACAAGTACATTCCATATTCAAAACCAGAGAAGAAGGTTCATGATCAGATTTTGCTTTATGGGACCCCAAAAGATCTTGATGATTTTTGTCTTAAGGTAATTGAATTTTCTTGCCCTTGTTCCTGCAGCTGTTAGCTTGCTATTCCTTTGTTAGCATTCACCTCTTGAATAAACTTTCAGGCACAACTAGTTAATTATATCCAGTATAGAGCTCTCTTAGAAGGCTGGACCTCGCGTATGTGGAGCAAGTATACAGGAGTTTTAATCTGGAAAACTCAAAATCCCTGGACAGGTCTCCGGGGCCAATTCTATGATCATCTCCATGACCAAACAGCAGGGTTCTATGGCTGTCGCTGTGCTGCAGAACCTATCCATGTTCAACTTAATCTGGCAACATATTACATCGAGGTACAGTTTATTCTTAAACAACTTCATGGATTGTCTTTGATTCAAAGCTTGGTACATAGTACTTATTCCAGTATCTAGTCATCTCAACCATCTTGGCCCAAAATTTAGTCTAAGATGTACATAAATATCTGGTCATCTTAACCATTTTGGCCTGAAATTTTTGGTCCATGATGTACATATGCGGGTCTGGTATGTATCTGCAGCATTTTTGTTTTGGCTGTTTCAACAGAAAAGAACTTGAGCTTGTGCCATTTATATCTTCTCACCTTCCTCGTGCTAATTTGGAAAAACTATTCTCAGTATTGGATCAAGCATATGTATCTGACATCAATATTTAGAAGATAATGCATTTTTGTTTCAGATCCCAGAGAAACGTTTTTAATTCTTCCTGTCATGGTCTTTTGGTCATTTACAGGTGGTTAATACTACATCTGGTGAACTCTCTAATGTGGCTATAGAAGCCTCCGTGTGGAATCTGGAGGGGATGTGCCCATATTATGAAGTGTCTGAAAAGCTCACTGTACCATCTAAAAGAACAGTACCTATCTTTGAGATGAAATATCCCAAGTCTAAAAATGCAAAGCCAGTTTACTTCCTCCTCCTTAAACTGTATAACATATCGGACTATGGCATATTGTCCAGGAACTTGTACTGGTTGCATTTACCAGGTGGTGATTACAAGCTCTTGGAACCCTACAGGAATAAGGAAGTGCCACTTAAAATAACATCTCAAGCTTTAATAAGGGGATCCACCTGTGAAGTCCAGGTGCGTGTAGTTAACACATCAAAGAAACCAGATTCTAGAAGTCTTCTTGACAAGAATATACTTACCAAAAGTAGTCGCACTGGTGATTGTGATACAACATTGTTAGAACCTGTACCAAGTGCAAATGAGAAAAAACAAGAAATGAGTCTGTTTCAGAAGATTCAGAGAAATTTTGCAAAGGAGCGAAGCAGTTTGAAGGTAACTGCTATCGGTGGAACTGAATATGGAGTTGCTTTCTTTCTCCATTTCTCCGTTCATGATTCAAAGAAGGACAAAAAAGAAGGGGAAGACACTCGCATTCTGCCTGTCCATTACTCTGACAATTACTTTTCGCTTGTACCTGGTGAAGAGATGTCCATCACCATCTCCTTTGAGATCCTTCCGGGTGTCAACCCTCATGTTACTCTTCATGGCTGGAACTACCAAGGTGGACATACCCTTCTCTGAATTCTAAAGACATAATAATCTTCTTTGCAGTTCACACAGACGGCTTTTGACAATTATCAGGTTCCGAACATGTTTACAAAGATCAGGCTTTACAATGCAGTATGCATAACTAGGTTATAGGCATCTCAAAGATCAAGCGTTACAATTTTTATTTTATTTTATTTTTGGTGTACATTCGAAATTTGGAAATATATGACAATCAGAAAGTACCAACTGAGCTCCAAGAATAAAAAATGTTAGTCTTGTTCACAATGGTAACAGTTGCATCTATTCACTGTACACTCAAGCTTTAGGGCGACATGAGTCATTAAATTCTTTTAGGCTCTACTTAGCACTCTAATTTGTAAGTTGAAGATTGCTGCTCCATGACAAGAATGGAGATTTTCAATTGTTATTTTGGTATCTGATGAATCACTAGGCCTGCATGAACATTGTGTTAAAATAGAGAACGGTGACGAATTCAGATGCTTCTTCACTTTGCATCTTATGGGCATTAAAAGTAGAGCAGCTTTCAAAAACCAAAGAAATAATTTGAGGCGTTTCACTTGGCTTTACTTGCCATATGCATGTCAAATTGCCCCAGAAATAAATATTCCAAAATTTTACTTGTGCCTATACATATCAGAGTCTAGCAGGAGAAAATTCGGCTTAAATCTCTTTGATGCACAATGGATGCAGTCATTGTGCAATGACGCTACTTGTAATCATGGTAACCATAGAAATGATGGTTGAGATAAAATGACTACACCTTATTTATTGCCTGTCGTCTGTCGTAGCATATAACTGCATTTGCAATGTGCTTATTTCGAGCAACTTACCACAGAACACAGGTAAATTCGTCCTCAAGCGTTAACTGAGTACCCCTCCAAAGCAATCTCTTATTTCAAATGAGATGTAGAATTTCATTTGCAGCTAGGTGATTTGAACGAGAACATCTAGGTTCGGAATGCCGAAGGAATCATGACTTCCAATATTCGTAGATTTCTTACTCATGCCAAAGTTTAATTGTTAATTTGGTATCACTCAATGAATTCGAAGTGTTTAGCATCTAATATTCCATTTTGTTTTGGTCTGCGGGAGTATAAAATCAATCTATTCTCCAGCAGATGTCCCTCATCTGTCATATGCTTAAGCAAACCTAACAGACTTTGATAGATAAATTCATTTTGTGGATGCATTTGATCAGCAACAACAAAACTATGAATCTTCTTCTCAATCTCAATCCAACTTGTGCCCGTCTCTTTAGCTACTCCCCTCTCTTTCATCTCCCTAATAATTGTTGCTCTATCATTCCATTTCCCTTCTGAAGAACACATGTTGGCCATCAATGTATATGGCACTGGGCTATCTGGTGCAGCCAAGAGCAGTTGGTCAGCAGCATACTTGCCCATTTCATTATCACCATGAATACCACAAGCACCAAGTAAAGCTTGCCAAATTAAGGCTCCTGGCTCAATAGGTAATCCTTCGATAAAATGCTTTGCTTCTTTAAGCAGACCTGCCCGACCAAGCATGTCAACAACACAGGCATAGTGTTCCATCCTAGGTACCATGCCATAAACTCTCTGCATGGTTTCTAAAATCCCCATGCCTCTGTGCACTAAACCAACATGACTGCATGCGTGAAGCAAAGAAAGAAATGTAACATCTGTTGGCTCTCGACCCTCTGATGTCATCTCTTCATATAATTCAAATGCTCTAAAGCAATTACCATGACGAGCAAATGCTGCAATCATTGAATTCCATGAAACTGGATTCCTCTGTGGCATCTCAGTAAAAATTTTAACTGATTCCTCCAAGTTCCCACACTTGGAATACATGTTGATTAAGCCATTGCTAACAAAAGGGTTAGCACCAAATCCTTTCTTGATAACTAAAGAGTGAACTTGTTTACCAAGATCCAATGAAGTTTCAACGCCAAACACTCCAAGGACGGCAGATATGACATTTGGATCAAGCTTAATTCCTGCCCGTACCATTTTCACAAAAATCTGAATCGCTTCATCCTTGAATCCATTTTGTGCAAAGCCCACAAGAACAACAGTCGTGGAAACCTCGTCAACCACCTTAGCAGACTCAAAAATCTGCCAAGCATCCTCCACACAACCGCATTTTGAGTACATATCCATCAACACACTTTCGACACAAAAGTCTGATTGAATCCCCAATTTCCAAACAACCCCATGAATCTGACAACCCTCTTTCAGAGCCTGTAAGCCAGCACAAGCGGATAACGCACTCAGATACGTCAAATAGTTCGGAGCTACTGATCCATGGTACATTTCCACAAACAAGTCCAAACTTTCCTCATAAAACTCATTTTGGACAAGGCCGGATATCACTGCTGTCCAAGAGATGACATTCCTCTCCACCATCTCATCAAAAACCCGTTTCCCCAAGTTAGAACACCCACATCTAAAATACGATGTCATCAGAGCATTCCCAACTGTAACTTCCCTCCTAAAACCACTCAAAACCACCAATCCATGCAGCATCCTAGTAACTCCAAGAAACTCAAGTCCATCACAAGCTGACAAAACCGTAGTCAAACTGGCACGATCAAGCCGACGAAACTCCGAACGTATCATTTCTTTAAAATACCCAAATCCCATCTCAAACTTCCCATTTCTCAAAAACCCGGAAATAATTGAATTACAAGAAATAGTATCTCTAACAGGCATCTCATCAAACATCTTGACCGCATCCGACAATTGACCGCACTGTGAATACATGGAGAGCAAAGAGTTCCAAATTACAAGAGAATTCCGAACAATACGATCATTTTCGAGGTTATAAACTTCCGGATTTTTTATAATGGAGGCATGGAGAGAAGAACCCAGACGCAGATTGCCTTCTCTTCCACAAGTGGAGAGAAGGCCGCTTATTTCTACATGGTTTCGTGAATACTTCGGGGTTTCTGGAGAAAATGGAGTTGAAAAACTGAAGGCTTTGAGGTGGGAGGAGCGATAGGCGGCCCAGAAGAAGGGGAGGCAACAACTCGAGCATTGAAGAAGCCATCTGGTATTCATCCATCAAATTATGGTAGGGAGATTCTCTCCAATATCGAGGGAGAGGTAACAACGGTCGAAATACGGTTGCTTCTGCGGTGGAAAGTGGGATGAACTTCCCACGGTAGGGGGGGTCGAAACGGTACGTTTTCAGATTGTATCCACTCGGCTGAGCTATGTTTTCGATCAAGTTCAATCAGAGTCGAATGGGATGACATCATAAATATATATTAATTATATATATTTAAAATAATAATAAAAAATTTCCTTTTTTTAGTGGTTTATAACTTTATATATATGTTTGATGAGTTTGGATTAGAGATGATAACGGATGAGTTTGGATTAGGGATGGCAATGAAGCGGGTATGGGGGCGGGAGATCCCTCCTCCGTCTCCTGCCTCGTTGCCAAAAAACTCCCCCTGCCTTCGTCCCCCCCCTCCCCACTTACCCTCCGCCCCGCTTCTCTCACAGGTAATAATTTGGTTTTTTTTTCTAGAAACTTTTATTCAATAGATCAAAACTAAATTCAAAAAATAAAATAAAATACGAAAGTGAAAAAAGAAAAATGAAACAAGAAAAGTGTTGAAATAAGACGCCAAGAAAATTAAGAAACTTAATTGGATTGTATAGATAATATTTTGAAATATTCATAGAACGCGTGACATGTTTGTACCAAATATCAATTAGGAATTTGGATAGAAATCGGATAAAAGTTATGTTTAGTTGCCAAATATTCTAAATTTATTATTATTAGATTATATAATATATTACATTTATTTATATTAATAAATTGAAGTGGGGGACGGTTCCCCCGCCCCATTTAAAACGGGGGGAGAAAAATTCCCCCCGTCCCCGCCCCACCCCATTACTCCCCCTGTGGGGTAGGCACTCGCAAGCATCCGTTCCCATTGTCATCTCTAGTTTGGATTTAGTCCAAAAGGAATGCACTTAAAAGTTATAGGTAAATTTGCAGTTTTAAAAATATATATAATGCGTGGATTTTATACTTCTTAAAATAATATGGGGTCAAAATGAAATTATTAGAAAAATTTTGGAACAACCTAAACTAACTAGATGTTAGCCGCCGCCCGAGTTCCTTTACTTTTCATTTTATCCTGGTTCCTTCTTCTTCCTTCCATGCACCATAACTCTTTTCTTGTCCTTTTTCCCCACAAATCAAACACACGTGAAAACTCTCTTTATCTTTGTTATTTTCCTTTTTCCCTCCTCTCTCTTCTCCTCCCTTCTTTGCTCTATTCTTTTTTTTTTCCTCCTATTTGATTTCAAATATTTCAAGAACTAAGTTGTAGGAAATCAAGTTAGAAATTTTAGGGAATGAATTTTTTTCTCTTGATCTGGGTTGTTACTTCGTTTCTCTTGGAGCTGGTCAAAGATCAAAAGATAGAAAAAAAAAGGGGGGAAGAAGTAGCCAATATGAAGAAGCAAGGATGAAGTACCATCGGCATCGGAAAGGAAACAAGAAGAAAATTGGGATCTTTCTGGTTCTAGCAGTTCTCGGTTCAATCGATCAGATCGGCAAGTCCAGTCCAAATTTAAAAATGCTGGTTAGAAGTACAACTCAACACAAACATCTTTGTCCATGTTTTTGGGGCCCAATTGAGAGAAGATGACCGGCAAAGGCTATTATTAGGACTGTTAATGGGGTTGGGCTAACCCAATCTTGGCTCTTTCGGCTCAATAAAAAGTCCGATGAGTCCAATCTTTTAGTGAGACGGTTTGAGATTGTACCTAAAAATTAACCCGAATTAAATATGAGCCAAGTTTGGACTTTATTAGGCTCAAATCCAATATAAGTCTAGTCCTTTAATTATCTATATATATATATATCTAAATATATTATTACTAAATACTAAATATATAGAAATTACAAAACACAAAAATATATCTGAAGACTCCTCTACTAGTTTTCTTAAGAGTCAATATTAGTAATGCATAAATGAATTTCTAACTTTTCTTATTAGTTGAGTAAATTTTTGTGAAGCATAATATTGATTTATTTCTTTTTGGTCTAAAAATACAAATCATCAAGCATATTTGGATTCAAATCACAAGGTTATAAAAGAAGTTCTAACCTTTGAAGATGTATTGGCTTATAACTACATATTTTATTACTATTTTCCATGTACTTTGAACGAATTAGATATAAATATCATTGAAAAATTATTGGTTTATATACTTTCTAAGAACTATTACTTATTCATGTTTAGTTTTAATGTTGTAGTCTTGTAAATGTTAAATTAGTTTTACAACTTAATAGTTATAGTAATTATATTAAGAAAATTAAGAAGTAATAAGTGAGTTTGGACTAAACTCGAAGATTTTGTGAGTTGAGTATGATTTTCACATTTATTAACCCGAAACTCATGGTCCGAAACTTGAAAATGTTACAAATTAAATGAGCTAACCTTGAACTTATGAAAGTCTGGCCCATATAACCCGATTGACAGGTCTAACTATTATCATTTGAAGGAGCTAAGAGCAAATACGAATATAAATTATATGTGGCTAAACAATGGTAATCTTTCTAACCAAACAGTGGATGACGACGAAGAGGAGGACATTGACATAAGTATCCAGCTTGGTGAAGGGATGCATAGCATTTGATGTTTGTGTTTTAAACAATGTGTTGGGTCTCACTTCTTTACTTTATCGTTAAGTGCATTTGTTCGGATATCTATATCTATATAAATTTGAGAAGAGATTTTTAGTATGATTAAGTCACAATGCTTCATTCTTTTTTTTTTTTTAGAATTTTGATTTTTTAAAAATTGTTATGCATCTTTTTGTGCGTTTTGAATTCAAAAAGTAAGAAGTGACTCCACTTACAGAGAAATTTGGTTTGAAGTCTATTAATGTGAGGTTAAATAGAAAGGAAACATCACCAAATGATCACGTGCCTTGCACATGATGGATTCTGGCCAAAAAATATTCGAAAACCTAGTTAGGAACTAAATTTGACCGATGTGAATATGTAAGGGATATAAAATTACACTTTTAAAAGTGAGGGACGAAAAAGGTTATTTTACAAAATGTGAGGGACGTTTTGGACAATTTTCCCAATTTTTCACACACAATCTTAAAAGGCAAGGAATCAAATAGATATTTTAATATGGAGTACCAAATTGATATTTTAAACAACTTTGGAGAACCAAATTGTGAATTTCCTAAGTTTTTGCTTAGCAAACGCTATGATTTTTCACACTCAATCTTAAAAGGCAAGGAACTTTTAGTAGAAGGACAGAACTATTCCTATTGATTTTCCTAATTATGCAATTAGATCATTCCATAGTTTTTTAAATAGGGGAAAGTGGGACTTAAGAAAGAAATGAGTAATTTTGCAATTAGATCATTCTATAGTTTTGAATAGGGGAAGGGTGGGATTTAAGAACTGAAGAGGGGACACTGAAATTTGAACATAGGATATTTAATTCTTGAGATTTCAACCTTAATTGTTAGACCAAAATTTCCTCAGCATATCATTTTATAGTTAGTTAAAAATTATTGACTTCAACTAAAATAAGTATTTAGGACCAAATCGTGATAGCTTTCTTATTTTAGAGGACAAAAATAGACAATTTCAATTTGAAGGACTAAATTAAATTTTAAACTACTTTGGAGGAACAAATTGAAAATTTCATAATAATCGGGCCAAAAATTTCCCCCACGAGCACAACGGTATGATTTTTCACACGCAACCTGCTCTAGAAAGATCTTGAAAGGCCAAGCCTTAGTTACTTGTTTCAAATCCCACATAAACCATAGGAGTGTTTGGATAGCACAAATATCTCAAATAATATTTCGCTTGTATCATAAACACATTTTTTTAATTCTATCTCTTTATATTTTCAATTATCTTTTTATCTCACATACATCACATTACAAAAAATGCTACAGTAATTATTTCAAATAATATTTTAAATAATACACTCTATCCAAACAAACCCCATGAAAGCTTCTCCTAGATAGCTCGCAATAACAGTATCTGATTATTGATCCAAGTTCCTCGTGGCACAGGAACTTAGTTTTGGCATCTGATGCTCTTATGAAAGCATGTAAAAGCTTTTGGATCGATGAATTATTTCATATAATATTTCACTTGGATCACAAATATATTTTCTAATTCATTTTTTTATATTTTTAACTATATTTTTATCTCACATATATCGCAACACAAAAAGTGTTACAGTAATTATTCCAAATAATATTTCAAATAATACTCTATCCAAACACAATAAATATTTTTAGAACTACGTAAATAATTTTATTGAACAAATTATACTACAAATATGAGAGATTATAATTTGTTTACAAGATTCGTTTGTGGAGGTTATGATCTTATATTTTAAAAAAAAATATTTTTAATTGATGTGAAACATGTATTTAAAAAAAGGTACTACTTATTTCAAATTTCCATTGATTTTGAATTCTTTTGACTTTTTTCTTTTTCTTGTATTATCTTTGCATGTTTATTTCTGGGCTAAAGACTATTTGAGAAAAAAAAATTTATTGAGTTTTAGACAAATATGTAAAATACAAAATTAAATTAATATAAATTATTTTAAAAAAATAAATGATGAGCGGGACGAAACGAATAGCCGGTGATCCAACCCTCTATTAGTAGGTATTTGATAACCGAATACCTGCTAATATATAAGGATCTAAGGACAGAAAATGACTAATGCGCGAGGTATAAGATGAGTCAACCAAATGATGCACAATGCGAGTATTCGATTCGTGTCCACCCCTAAATTTACCAATACAATAACAATGAAAAACCAGACATGTTTGTAAACCAGACATGTCTTCGGCTGTTACTTTGATTTAAGCTTAAACAAGTGCACAATCACAAAAGAAACATTAATCTTCCGAAAACAAAAGAAAAGGTGGTGAAGTTGGGGCAAGTTCCTCCATCACGCCGTGGCGGAGCCAATAATGGACCGGGGGCAATCAACCCCAAATTCCGAAATCTTTCTTTTAGCCCTGAGAAAATTTTGAAAATTTTAAGCAAAAGTCCTTTGGCCAGATCAAGATTTTACCAAAATTTTATTGCCCCCGCCCCTACCTAGCTTCTCCTTTTAGACAAAATTGAGCTCTTACTCATCTTTCAATACTTTTGACCTAGCTTCATATGTATGTATGACATGTAATGCCTAATTCTGAATGGTTTACATAACTACAGAGAGAGCCATTTCATGACAAGAATCAAATATCTTCTCCACTAATCCAAGGGTGAAAATGTATCTTTGTAGCATTTGAGGAATCAAAATATGCCGCACACACACTTTGCTTCACAAAATTATGTACCCCTAAAGATCAAAGATACACAGAACTTTGTTGGCATTGCTCACATTTTTCCTCATGAATGAGCTCATGCCAATCATTACATCCAACCTATGTAATAGGTTAACCCCTAAGCCATATACATTAGATGACCAAAATAAAGGGCAAAATTATCTGAATTTTCCTATCAATGTATAATACCTTAAGAGAGCTTTCCCAATTCCCATGTACTGCACACGCACGCTTGTCCCATACCAACTCGCTAATTATGAAACTTTCTATTTGTCAGCAATCACTTGAACAAGTGTTTTGCCATGACTGTTATTGCAATCTCTTTGCATGTCATTACCATCTTCATTCTGCAAAAGGAAGCAAAAGAAAACTAAATGCGGTAGCCAAACTAACAATCATATAGGGTATTCGAAGTTTATCAACAACAATTAAGCGATAAATGTGGTTTAATGTATAAAAGTTACCAAACAAACTTAATCAATTCATATCTTAATTTAACAAACCTTTTCCTTCCAATCAAGTTGCGTACTTTATTCTGTACACAAACTACAACAGTTTAACATTTTAAGTAAGACGTGCACTTGCATGAGTCCATCATCTTTGCATCCCTTTTATTAGTTAAGGGGGGAGGATGGATCTCTTATCAAATGCAAAATGAGTAACTCTGATTGTGCATGTCACCATGTTCTCGCATTTTTTACTGCCCTACTTGAACGAATTGCATCATTCACTGTTTGCATGCTTGGCCATAAGAAAGTCAAGGAGCCAACTCAAATGTGAAGGTGTAGGAACATATTATTCCCAAATACGAGAACATTTTTCTGTATAATTGATTGGCATTAAAAAAATGAGAAAGATTGAAAAGTAAAGCCAGGGGGACAAAATTGCATAAATTTTCTCCAGCGAGAAGCACAAAGTGCATAAATTCCAAGACTAAAATAGTTGGAAGATATATATAGCATTTAAGCTTCGTGCATCAACTGTAGATTAACAACAGTAAAAGATCCTCCACTTGAAGCCTCACCAAAAATAGGTGTATAAATGCTTTTTTCCCAGGGGCAATCCCTATATTTTGATAATGACTATTTTAAAAAAATTTTAATCGTAATATGTTTCACACACTCAAACATCCCTACATAGAGAAGACCCATCAGATCACAAAAATAGGTAGGTAGCAAGTAAATTCACCCTGAGTGTCTCTCCTATGGAGAAGCAGAGTCCATATATTACAGGCTTTATTTGGCCCACCACAACAATCTTTGTTTGGGTGACACTTCATTTAGCACTAATAATGGGAGGAAAACAAACACTAGTTCTAATCCTTCCAAGATTACTAAATAAGATGAAAATTTGGATCATCCATGTGACAGCCCCACCTCCCCCTAGGGCGTACCCCAGGGTTTGGCGGGTCGCCTGACCAGGACTCACTCACTCATAGTTCAAGAAAAATAACGTACATCTATAGAAAATAAATAACACATCCACTTCAACTTAATATATACATTGATGCTCAAATTCAGATACAAAACTTCTACACGCCAAGATACTTTCAAGTGTTTACAATTCAAGTACAAATAACCCTTGTCGGGTGCTAGCGCGAGTACAATTTCAAAATTCAAAACAACTAGACTACGCTAATCTGTACATGTCTCACGCCTCGCTCGTACCCCCTGTAAGGAAAACAAATGGCGTGGAATGAGCTAAAAATCCAGTGAGATTCCAAATAGCAAGTTGACCATTATTTAAAAGTGCAGGTTTCACGTAGCAAAATAATGAGCATGAAAAGTTCATAAAATAACACTTCAAGTAGCAAATCTCAAAATGAGCGAGTGTAAAGTTTTTCTTTTAAAACGAAACAATAACACGATGAGTACTAATTATTCCAAAGTATAAGGATATGGATGGCTCTCAGGAGCCAAATTTCCATTGCATCACCAGAGTTTGATCAAGTAGTAGTTGACACTCCGTCAACTTTCAAGTAAGTAACCAATCTAGTAGAGCACCACTTAACTCCAATCTCCGTCCACCAACCAAACCCCTTACCGGCCCCAAACTCCAAGATAAATACTGGTGGTAATACTCGAACATGCCGATTAGTCGAGGAGATACACTCTACTCGACAACACTAGATACCCATGGTTCGTTATCTAATCGATCAAGCCTTTGCCGGCTCGACTTGAGTAACTAGCCAATGGGGTTTGGGTTCCCAAGAATTCGATGAGATAACATCTCCAATCGACTGAATCAAGATAAAAGTATGGAGACGGAAATGAGAGGTACCTCCCATTTGGATCGAGTGTGGTACATACTGCCGCTCAATACTTACAAGTCACACACAAGTATATCAAGTCAATTGCAACAATAAACGAGTACATATCACATTAGGGTAAGTGCGATAAAGTACACCCTTACTCGATCATATCAATCACATTGGTCAAGTATTGAAAACAAGTATCCAGTTCAATCAAGTATTTGAAAGCACTCACCAAAGGTCTAGTGCCTCTTGTTGAAAATCTAGAATATCTTTTTCTATGTATATCCCATGATTTCTGCTATATCCCATGATTTCTGTTCTATTTTAGGATAGAATAATTTACTCCTAATGTATTTTAGGATAGAATAAATTAGCTCCTAATTTTTAGGAAATTACAGATTTCATGGAATTGACAAAAGTCAAATTCCATTTGTATAAATGTTGTACAGAGTCTAGAACAAAAGATATGACAGAACAATTCAGTTTTTCTTTTTGTTCATGGTATCAGAGCTTTTGCTCTTGGGACCTCTTCTTGTCAGCCTTCATTGCTGAGTGTTTTCCTCTTTTCAAGTCTTTATTACCAAGTGCAATTTCCAGCCTTCATTGCTGATTTTTGTTTCATTAGGCCTTCATTGCCAATTTTTCTTTGAAACCTCCAACATGTCTGAAATTGAAACATCAGAAATCCACTCCAATACCAAATCAGAAGATACCTCAAATATTCCACAAACAGGGGATTTGCAGAGTATCCAGGCAGCCTACAGGCTCAACGGAAAAAACTATTTGAAGTGGGCACAATTTGTTCAAACATTTCTCAAAGGAAATGGCAAAATCAGCCACTTGCTTGGAACTGGACCGAAAAAAGGAGATCCTAAATTCGCTGCTTGGGATGAAGAGGATTCTATGGTCATGTCATGGCTGTGGAACTCCATGTTACCTGAAATAAGCGATACTTGCATGTTCCTACCAACAGTTCAAGATATATGGACTACTATTCGAAAGACCTATTCAAAGGCAGGAGATGCTGCCCTAATCTATGAGATCAAAACAAAGATCTCAGCCACTAAACAGGGCAACCTTTCTGTTACTCAATATGCCAATCTTCTGCAAAATCTATGGCAGGAACTGGACCAATATCGGTGTGTTCAGATGTTGTGTAGTGAAGATGCAGCCACCTTGAAAAACTTTATCGAAAAGGATAGAGTTTATGACTTCCTTGCAGGTCTGAATGTAGAATTTGATCAGGTCAGAGTCCAGATATTGGGGAAGGAAAGATTATCATCTCTGAATGAGACAATATCATTGATTCGAGCTGAAGAGAATAGGCGAGAAGTCATGTTAGAGCCTAAAACATTAGAAGGCTCGGCAATGATTTCTACAAAGTCAAATAAAGACACAATTTGGTGCACGTACTGCAAAAAATCACGCCATACGCAAGATGATTGCTTCAAACTTCATGGGAAGGAACAAGTCCTTAGTCGTAAAGGAGGATTCAAAGGGGGAAAAGCCCACTTAACTGCTGGAGAAGACCAAACACAAGAAAAATCCAACCAGGCTGGTATGAGAGAATTCAAGAAAGAAGAAATCGAAAAGCTAAGAAACCTCCTAAATTCCCTTGAAAAGTCCTCTAGTACGTGTTCATTGGCTCAATCAGGTAAGTACCTTAACTCTTATGCTTTAAGTGCCTCAAGCATGTCTTCTCTAGGCTCTTAGGTCATCGACTCAGGAGCTACTGACCATATGACTTACAGCCCAATCAGATTTAGAACATACAACCCATATCCTGGAAATAGAAAAATTACTGTTGCGGATGGATCTCCTATAACTGTTGTAGGCCAAGGGACAGTAAATCTATCAAAATCTTTGTCCCTAAGTAATGCGTTGCATGTCCCAAAATTATCCTCCAATCTCATATCCATCCATCAAATTACCAAAAATCTGAACTGTAGAGTAATTTTCTATTCTACTCACTGTGTTTTTCAGGATTTGGTTACGGGGAGGACGATTGGACTTGCTAAGGTGAATGATGGGCTTTATTACCTTGAGGAGATGAATGGCAACAAGAAGAACAAAAATCAGTTATCCCTCACCTGCTCCTCAAATAATAAATCTGAAATTTGATTTCATCATTTCCGTCTTGGTCATCCATCTTTTATTTTACTTAAAAGCATGTTTCCTTCACTTTTCAAGAATGAAGATGTTAGTAGTTTTCATTGTGATACATGTGAAATTGCTAAACATCATAGACAATCATTTCCATTGAGTAATACAAGATCTACTAGACCTTTCTCTTTGATACATACTGATATTTGGGGGCCTTGTAGAATTTCTAGTATTTCTGGAGCAAAATGGTTTGTCACATTCATTGATGATTGTACTAGAACTACTTGGTTATTTCTTATGAAAGAAAAATCAGAAGTAAGCAGTATTTTTCCAATGTTTCATAAAATGATTTGTACACAATTTGGAAGTTTGATTAAAAGAGTAAGATCTGATAATGCAAGAGACTATTTTAATCAAATTCTCTCATCTTTTTTCCAAAAAGAGGATATAATACATGAGTCATCTTGTGTAGATACACCCCAACAAAATGGGATTGCTGAACGAAAAAATAGACATTTACTCAATGTGACTCGAGCAATTTTGTTTCAACATAAAGTTCCAAAAACTTTTTGGGGGGAGGCTGTTTTAACTGCTGCACATTTAATAAATAGAGTACCTTCAAAAGTACTAAATAATCAAAGTCCCATTGCTGCTCTTTCTGTTTTTTACCCTGATTTTAATGTCTCTTGCACATTGTCACCAAAAGTGTTTGGTTGTGTTGCTTTTGTACATGTTCATGCACACCAAAGAGGGAAACTTGATCCAAGAGCTTTAACATGTATTTTTGTGGGACACTCAAACACAAAGAAAGGATATAAGTGTTATCATCCACCTTCAAAAAAATTTTTTACCTCCATGGATGTCACATTTGTTGAAAATGAACCTTACTCTCAAAGTAACAATCCTCATCCCCAGGGGGAGAGTAATGAACCTTACTCTCAAAGTAACAATCCTCATCCCCAGGGGGAGAGTTCTTGGGAAGATAAGAAATTTCTCCTTGATTTTCAAAATCCTACACTAAACTTAAAGTCTTTCAAGCCTGACCATACACCAAATTCTAAAGGAGAACATACTAGCAGTGAACCTGAACCTGAATTTGAAGTTGAACATGCCAGTAAAGAAATTGAACCTGATCTTGGAGCTGAGGGAAAATCTGGTTTAAATCCAACTACACCACTCAAGGTCTACTCAAGGAAGAAAGTTCATATTTCTGAACCTGTGCAAATCCAAGAATCCAAACCACAATCAGGTACTGAAAATTCTGTTCCTTTGTGTGTTCAATCTGACTCTGCTCCTTGTGAATTTAATGATTTAGACCTGCCTATTGCTGTTCGAAAAAGAACACGAGAATGCACTAAGCATCCAATCTCAAATTTCGTGTCTTTCCATAGACTCTCTCCACAACATAAAACTTTTCTTACCACCATCAACTCCATTTCAATCCCATAAACACTACAAGAGGCACTTAAAAATAAGAACTGGTTACATGCTATGAAAGAGGAGATGAATGCCCTAGAGAGAAATAAGACTTGGGAAATTGTAAACCTGCCTAAAGGAAAGAAAACAGTGGGGTGTAAATGGGTGTTTACTTTGAAATATAGAGCTGATGGTTCATTAGAAAGGCATAAAGCTCGGTTGGTTGCAAAAGGATATACACAGACATATAGGATAGATTACCAAGAGACCTTTGCACCCGTTGCAAAAATGAATACTGTGCGTGTTCTTTTGTCTTTAGCCGCTAACTTTGGTTGGTGTTTACAGCAATTTGATGTTAAGAATGCGTTCTTACATGGGGATTTAAAAGAAGAGGTGTACATGGAACCTCCACCGGGTTTCAATGAAATGTTTTTTGAAAAGAAAGTGTGCAGGTTAAAGAAAGCTTTATATGGATTAAAACAATCGCCAAGGGTTTGGTTCGGAATATTTACTAAAGTGATGCTAGCAATGCAATACAAACAAAGTCAAGGAGATCATACTTTGTTCATAAAACATTCAAAAGGAGGTGTTACAGCTCTACTTGTATATGTAGATGACATCATCATCACCGGAGATGATCCAATTGAAAGAAAAACACTCAAAAAGTGCTTAGCAAAGGAGTTTGAAATTAAAGAACTAGGGAGGCTGAAGTATTTTTTAGGCATTGAGGTGGCATACTCAAGTAAAGGCATCTTTGTTTCCCAACAAAAGTATGTCTTAGACTTGCTTAAAAAAACAGGCAATCTTGGATGCAAGGCAGCAAGCACACCTATTGAGCCTAACTTGAGATTGAATGAAGAGAATGATGATAGCACAGTAGATAAGGGAAGATATCAGCGGTTGGTTGGAAAACTGATATACTTGTCCCATACAAGACCGGACATAGCATTTGTTGTAAGTGTAGTAAGCCAATTTATGCATGATCCAAGAGAGAAACACTTGCAGGCTGTTAATAGAATTCTATCCTACCTCAAAGGGACACCGGGTAGAGGAATTTTGTTCAAGAAAAATGAAGGATTGCTCATAGAGGCATATACTGATGCTGATTATGCAGATTCTGTTATAGATCGTAGATCAACTTCAGGATATTGTACATTTCTTGGTGGGAACCTAGTGACATGGAGAAGTAAGAAGCAATCGGTTGTTGCAAGATCAAGTGCTGAAGCAGAATTTAGAGCTATGGCTCATGGAGTTTGTGAATTGCTATGGCTCAAAATAATCCTTGATGATCTTAAAATCGTGTGGGAAGGACCTATGAAACTCTATTGCGACAACAAGTCTGCCATCAACATTGCACACAATCCAGTGCAACATGATTGCACAAAGCACATCGAAGTTGATAGACTTTTTATTAAAGAAAAGCTGGACAGTGGCATGATTTGCACTCCATATGTAGCATCAAATAATCAATTGGCAGATGTCTTAACTAAGGGAATGCCAACTTCCAACTTTGAAGACATTACATGCAAGATGGGAATGGAAAATATCTATTCACTATCTTGAGGGGGAGTGTTGAAAATCTAGAATATCTTTTTCTATGTATATCCCATGATTTCTGCTCTATTTTAGGATAGAATAATTTACTCCTAATGTATTTTAGGATAGAATAAATTAGCTCCTAATTTTTAGGAAATTACAGATTTCATGGAATTGACAAAAGTCAAATTCCATTTGTATAAATGTTGTACAGAGTCTAGAACAAAAGATATGACAGAACAATTCAGTTTTTCTTTTTGTTCACCTCTAAAAAATTACGTTCAAATCCAACTCCTTGGTTGGAATCCAAATCTGCGATAAAATATCATTTACGAATGTAAAACTCTCTAAAATTCGAAACATAGGAGTTTCGTTTCAAGAAAATCAAGTTAATGCAACTCGTTTAAATAGTATTCAAGATACTTATTAAATTCCGAAAAATTCATGCTCGCTTGTTTAGTTATGATTAAGAAGTGGTTTCGACTTTAGAAGTTGTACTTGGTATCAAAGACCGGAAAAATCATATTTTGAAAGGGTCATTACTTTTACTTTTCAAGGGTATGAGTTCCGGCAAAATTTTAGCTTATATATCTTGACTAAAAAAAACTCGAATACCATAGGCGATCCGAATCCAACTTGATCTCAAATCGCAAGTACATATGCCTAACACTCGAGTGAAAATTTGGACAGCATGCCCTTTGTATTTAGTTATTTTTCAGCCATTTATGACTTCATCATTTTTCTTAATTCAGCCCAAAATCAAGGTAGTAAGCTGTCCCAAATTTTGGACAGCATAACCCCTGTTTTGTCCTATTTTTTCCTTTCCAAATTCAATACAAAATTTCATGACCAAACCATCCAAATCAAGAGCACAAATGATAGGGTATACAAGCTACTAATTTCAGACCGTAAATCCACCAAAAATAGACAAGTATTCAGCTCACATGTCTCTATACCAAGGCTGGTCGTCAAGCAAAAGTTCAACTCCACAAGCTTAAATTTCCATAAGCAAACTAATGGAACATATGCAAGATGGAAAAATTACATGACATGGCTAAAATATATAGTAAACATGATATTAGCATTTTAACACTCATTTTCATTTTCCTTAACTAAAACAGGAAATTTATTGCTTGGGACATGAACTTTTGCTGGATGGCCAGCCTTGGTATGGAGACATGTGAGCTGAATACTTGTCTATTTTTGGTGGATTTACGGTCTGAAATTAGTAGCTTATATACCCTATCATTTGTGCTCTTGATTTGGATAATTTGGCCATGAAATTTTGTATTGAATTTGGAAAGGAAAAAATAGGACAAAACAGGGGTTATGCTGTCCAAAATTTGGGACAGCTTACTACCTTGATTTTGGGTTGAATTAAGAAAAATAATGAAGCCATAAATGACTGAAAAATAGCTAAATACAAAGGGCATGCTGCCCAAATTTTCACTCGAGTGTTAGGCATATGTACTTGCGATTTGAGGTCAAGTTGGACTCGGATCGCCTATGGTATTCGAGTTTTCTTTAGTCAAGATATATAAGCTAAAATTTTGCCAGAACTCGTACCCTTGAAAAATGAAAGTAATGACCCTTTCAAAATATGATTTTTCCGGTCTTTGATACAAAGTACAACTTTTAAAATCGAAACCACTTCTTGATCAGAACTAAACAAGCGAGCATGAATTTTTCAGAATTTGATAAGTATCTTGAATACTACTTAAACGAGTTGCATTTACTTGATTTTCTTGAAGCGAAACTCCTATGTTTCGAACTTTAGAGAGTTTTACATTCGTAAATGATATTTTATCACAGATTTGGACTCCAACCAAGGAGTTGGATTTGAACGTGATTTTTGAGAGGCACTAGACCTTTGGTGAGTGCTTCCAAATACTTGATTGAACTGGATACTTGTTTTCAATACTTGACCAATGTGATCGAATGATATGTGATTGATATGATCGGGCAAGAGTGTACTTTATCGCACTTACCCTAATGTGATATGTACTCGTTTATTGTTGCAATTGACTTGATATACTTGTAAGTACTGAACGGCAGTATGTACCACACTCGATCCGAGTGGGAGGTACCTCTCATTCCCATTTCCATACTTTTATCTTGATTCAGTCGATTGGAGATGTTATCTCATCGAATTCTTGGGAACTCAAACCCCATTAGCTAGTTACTCAAGTCGAACCGGCAAAGGTTTGGTCGATTAGATAACGAACCATGGGTATCTAGTGTTGTCGAGTGGAGTGTATCTCCTCGACTAATCGGCATGCTCGAATATTACCACCAGTATTTATCTTGGAATTTGGGGCCGGTAAGGAGTTTGGTTGATGAACGGAGATTGGAGTTAAGTGGTGCTCTACTAGATTGGTTACTTACTTGAAAGTTGACGGAGTGTCAACTACTACTTGATCAAGCTCTGGTAATGCAATGGAAATTTGGCTCTTGAGAGCCATCCATATCCTTATACTTTGGAATGATTAGTACTCATCGTGTTATTGTTTCGTTTTAAAAGAAAAACTTTACACTCGCTCATTTTGAGATTTACTATTTGAAGTGTTATTTTATGAACTTTTCATGCTCATTATTTTGCTACGTGATACCTGCACTTTTAAATAATGATCAACTTGGTATTTGAAATCTCACTGGACTTTTAGCTCATTCCACGCCATTTGTTTTCCTTACATGGGGTACGAGCGAGGCGTGAGACATGTACAGATTAGCGTAATCTAGTTGTTTTGAATTTTGAAATTGTATTTGCGCTAGCACCCAACAAGGGTTATTTGTACTTGAATTATAAACACTTGAAAGTATCTTGGCGTGTAGAAGCTTTGTATTTGAATTTGAGCATCAATGTATATATTAAGTTGAAGTGAATGTGTTATTTATTTTCTATGAATGTACGTTATTTTTCTTGAACTATGAGTGAGTGAGTCCTGACCAGACGACCCGCCAAACTCTGGGGTACGCCCTAGAGGGAGGTGGGGCCGTCACAATCCACCCGATAAAGGCGTATTTGTTACCTACTAGCTTGATTCAGATATGCCAACATTTCGTTTAAGGGTATGAGGGTTAAGACCAAGAAAATGCAAAAAATCAACATAAAATTTTTGCTTCTTTAATGAGAAATTTAAGCACTGTGACTACGTATGCAATTCAAAAATCACTAAACACTTGAATCAGACGACGACGACAAAAACCACTCAAATAGGCTAACAAAATACAGCTGTATAAAAAGTGCAGAACTACAGTATTGAGGTGCAAAGGCAAGATAATGAATATACCCTTCTAGTGAGGCCTTGAGCTGACATGAACTCATAGAACTTGCGCATCAGCATTTCTTCCTCTACCTACAATGAACATCATCATTTAGCATCTCAAATTATTTTCAAACCAGGGAGCTAAATCAACACACCACTAGCAAATTTAAATTTTAGTGAAATAACATAAGTAGAAATAATTTTGAAGATGATAGATCCAATTCATGTTTGAGGTGTAATGGTCCATACATTTCGGAGGAAGCGTGTATGAGATCTTTCATGGACCAATTTAACTATGGTCCATGGTCACAATCGTTCTTTGCTCTTTTCTTTCCTCCCCCGCCCCCACCCCGGCCCATACTCATCCAAGTCAAGGGGGCATGGTTGAGGTAATAGCAATCCAAATGTTATACTAAAAGGCATAAAAATCCACATATACAACATAGATATCCTTCATTTTAGAAGCCTTCCCTTCTTTATTTGATAAATACAGCTATTGCGCTAACCCTTCTTAATTTAATTAATTCAGACCCTGTCTAAGAAGAAAAAAGGACATAGAAAAAATTCCTACAGTAGTCATCAAAAAGTTTGAAAACTCTCGTGCATTAACATAAGAAACCACAAAATGGAGATCAAGATGAAAAAGGTAGACCTAGAGTTTATGCAGTTCATGCAGAATTGACCTGTGAGCATCAGTAAGGAGCTCATTCTGCTTATCCAAATGCCTACAGAAAAATTGAATTAGACAGTATATCATTGAGCCAATAAACCTGTGCAACACAAACTCTAATAACAAGGAGAGAAAACTTTTTATTAGTTTGTGAGTGATTTAGTATGCTTTGTGATAAAAAACCATCAAGCTTTTAGCAGGAATTACCTTAGCATTTCTCCAGCATATCGAGGGTCCATTCCCTTAAAATATTCAATTGAGAGGTGTATGGATTTGCACAAACCTCGCTAGTTCCAAGGAGAAACCTGAATGTTCAAAAGAGAATCTTAGTTTAAAAGATTTAATAAGCTTTGAATAGAGAAATGAAATGCAAAACCAAATGTACGAAAAGTTGTCAAGTATTCCAGTGACAGAAAAGCTCTATAGCCTCTATTGACAGCGGGGAATGAGAAGCAACTTCAAGCTTCCATCATCCACAAATGACCATATCAAGACAGGGAAATCTTCGTAAAAATCAATAGGACTAAGATTAAACCTTAATTGCTTATCCTCCAGCCCCACAGATAGATTCAAGATACATCATTCAAATTTGAATCATATGTGTAATGCTTGAGCCTAAAGAATGACCTTTGCAATGATCATTACTGTGTCAGAATCAGCAGATGGTTGTCTCGGACATAAGCCCAAAACAAAGTTTTGACCACAAAAGGACATTAGTAGACTAGTAGAGGGGAGACCATCCAACCACTAAAATAGTAGGTTCAAGGCAGCCTACACAAAACATAAGTCTAATGATATTCTGTCACGACTTAATAAAATACCGGAAGGAAGCTTTACCCCTACACATTCACCATGAGCAAACTTCATTCTACTTAGTTCTTTTCCCACATTTGATTGCCAAGGACGAACACTCAATTATCTGGACAAACAATTTATCCACCTTTTAAACATTAAAGCATCCGATTCTCTTTCTGGTAAACTTTTTTCTTTCTTTTCTATTTTCCTTACAGATGTAAGTGCCACAAGGCTCAATATTGACTCGAACCTTATCCTAACCGCATGGTTCCATATTGTCCTACAAGAATTGCTAGCACCAAATGAATTAGTAGATGTAATAAAGGAAAACACTTAACTTAGGTGGAGCAAAGCAAATCATGAAAATATTTTGCTACATACTCTCTTCTAGTATAATTACTTTGTTTATCTGAATTCTTCATAAGCAACTTTACTGACAATTCTTGTTAGTATTTTGATTTCGTAGCACAAAGCCTTCGAATTCTTGTTTCAATTGTTCATATAAGAGGGAGAACCATCATCATACTGCATCAATAGCTGTTGGATAATAATATCACAAGGACAATTGATAGGAAAAAAATATAAACTAAAAAAAGAAATTAATTGTTAATCAAACACAAGACTGCAGAAAATTGAAATTGCATAATCAGAGCAAACCCAAAACAACAAGCAGCAGAGAAGTCAATTTCTAAAACACAAATTAAAAATATGAAAAATAGCACCTAACCCATTGAAGCGTATGTACATACAAAACAAGAAGACAGAGTTTTTTTTTTTAGTATAATTTTTAATTAAAAAAAAAAGACCTGGGTTCTCTAGTGACGGTATTGAAACCGAGGATTCTGGTGGCCAAGAAAATTAGCGGTATCTTTGGTCGCCAGACAAGTCACAAGGAGAAGAAGCTCATGTAAGCTGCCACAGCGATTTACAATTAGTGATAGATTCCACTGTGAAGAAGGGTAAAAGGAAAGGCTACGCGTGCTGCTAAAAGTCCACGTCGGCCATAATTTTTTTTTTTTTGTAGGTTGGCTGACACAAATTAAAAAATAATTTAAAAAAGAGATTTTTTTTAGCTAAATCACCAAACCCTAGGATATTTGGTCGCTAAATTAATTATTGATTGTAGTTTTTAAATAATAAACTATTTTGTTTATGTTTGAAACAATTTTTCCTCTTTCTAGAGCAAACAAACGTTTAAGATATATTTTTATTTTTTCTACGTTTGAAAAATTGTGAAAGAATTTTTTTTTTAATTTCATATGAAAAAACAAAATTAGAATTGTTTGGCTTTATTCAACTTATATGTTATGTTGCTAATTACATTGTTAACGAATGCAAAATTTTAGAATAAATGTCTATAAGTTAGCATTAATCACATATTATGATTGGAGTATTTTGATAACACAAAAAAGTCAAAATCTCACATAAATATGCAAATAAATTACCATAAACAAATAAAACAAAAGTAATATAACATGTTGTGTCCTACAAATTAATTTAAGGCAATTAAGTCAAATTTATGCAGATTGTATTTCATAGATGACTATATCCAATATTGAAAAAAATGAACATTCTATAATATCTAAAAAAAAGTTTGAATTTTGTGACAAAAATAATATAGTTTACCATCATATTCATAAACCTATCAACTAGAGATTGAAAAATAATAATTTATCATAAAGTTAGCTATCTAGATTTCAATTATTTGATTGAATTTTGTTAAACAGATTTTCTTACTTCCCATTGTGAGCCCTAGTGTAAATATCGTTAGGATTGAATACCACAATGGATCTTCTATCTCATTCTTTGTGTCACTTTCTGTTTCACTTTTTTATTATATTACTATTTTTTTTCATAAATATCATATTTTAATCTCTTTTGTTTCCTTAAAATCTAATAACTATTAATTGGGTAAAAAATAAATACAACAGTCTCAAAAAACTTTTTATGTATTACTGAGTCAATACTTGTTGCATTTTAGGGAAACAAAAGAGAATTAAAATACGGTATTTATGAAAAAAATATAAAAATATAATAAAAAATGAGACAAATAGTATAATAGAGAAGAAGACAAAATATCCGTTGCTGTCGAATATTAAGTGGGTTGATTTGAGTACAATTCAAGCTCTCCTTTTTGACATTTTCCAAAATTTCAACCTTTTAAGATGGTTATACACTTTACAATTGTAGTTTGGTATGACGGCCTAATTAATGTGAATTGAATCAAAAAGCAGACATTACAATTCGAGGTAACAAGGCATAAGAAATGCAATAGATTTACTAACTTTACCAAGCGAATTTATTCAAGTACTTGGGCATAAAGTAACTGAGTTAGACACACACACAACACAGCCTTCTGTGTCCCAATCCAATTATATTTATGAGTAGTAGTACTAGATATTTTCTGGCGGTGCCAATGCGCAATTTGTTGTGTAAAAAATATTGAAAAATTCCCTATAACTCTCATTTTTAAAATTAATAGAACAAGGAAGATCTTAATTGTCATCATGTTGAGAAACCATGTTCATGTGCAAACAATTATAGCAGTAGGGTAATTAAAGCAATGTCCATGTCCATGTGCAAAACCAGAGAAACTAATATAACAAGGAAGCTGCAAAATAATTGAAGACGGAGGTATGTTAAAAGTCTCTGTCCCCCCAAGATCCGTCCATTGAACAATCCCCTTTCAATGAACCAAGGTATGGAACTCAGAAGTGCTTATCTGTGCCAGAAATTAATCAGTGCATGACCAATTCCTAAAACCAAAATTTAAGCAGAAACCAAATTATATCAAACAAATCGTGATTTGAGTGCAGATTCTACTTGTTGAGCCCCATAACATGTGGAAAATTAGAACCAAGACAGTAGAAGCTGGGGAAATACTCTTTAACTGGTCTTTGGTCCTAACTATGATGGTCACTAACATGACAATGTAGAAAAAGTCAAAAACAATCGACGAAATTAATGTTTCTAGATCTATCAAAGTATTATTTCCAATGAAATTTAAAGATAGTTCGAGCCATTGCAAGACATTAAAGGATTATTCAGCATACAAACACAAAGGGAAAAGTAAAATCATTTTTGTTTAGGACCAAACAGTAAGATAAAGAACATCTCTCAAATCATCTAATACTCCATAACAATGGGACACGTAAATTTTCAGAAAACTAAACCAGTGCAGTGGTAAAGCTACCTTTAGAGGCAAATCATCAAACACAAAGCATGCTACTATTGTAAGAGATGATCACACACCTTAAACACTGGATTAGGGCTCGGTAAATTGGAAGTACTAAATTGGCCATTAAACACTGGATTAGGGCTCGGTAAATCGGAAGTACTAAATTGGCCATTTTTCGAAATTTTGACATGAATTTTCCCGACCGAATTCGAATTCGAAATCGAAATAGACAATTCCGATTTCGAATTCAATTCCGAATTGAATTCGGAATTCGGTGATTTCCGAATTCACCGAATTGAAGAACCTGTTTTCCCTTTTTTTTTTTTCTTGTTTTAATGACTTCTCACAAGTCTGCTTCATACGAGAATACAAAGCAACAAATACTTATTAGTGAATTCCAGTCCAAATCCAGTCCAATTCTAGTCTAAAGTCGAAATACAAAGCAACAAATATCAAATAATACAAATGGACTCCCAGGTCCTCCAAAGGCAGAATAGGCTTTCTTTTGCTAAGATAAGTTCCACTTCGTACTTCCCAGATCCTCCAAGTTTTCACTACCAGCAGTCCACAATTGCTTCAAGTTACCAATGGGAGCTACGGCCATTCGCTCTCATTTACTCAAAAACTAACTTGGTTTTTTTTTTTTTAATGAAAGTTCGAGCCTGCCGCACAATTTTTCAAAAGAGATCACTGAAAGACTTGAACCACCAACCATGCATACAATTTCTATCACAAATAAGATGTGATAGATCTAACTCACATGAAACAGCAACTCGACGAAAGAGGAAAACCAGATACATTCATAATTTGCAGAACAGAAGTAAGATAGACCATCATAAGCAACAGTGCCCAAGTCCCTAACAAGCATTATAACAAAGCTGATGATGAAGGCGTACCTCAAGTCTCGACTCTTGACTGAGGACTGGCAGCGGTGGAGGCGGAGGAAGGAAGGTCCGGTCCGAAGGTGAGACTTGAGTGAGGAAGAGGCGGCACTCGGCAGAGACTTGAGAATCAATTTGCACTTTTGCTTTTTTGTCTTTTGGAGGTTGTTTTGTAATTTTTGTTAATTGTTAATGTTAGATGTATCAGTATTAATGTATTATTGTTATTAACTTATTATGTTGTATAATATAAATTATACATTACATATATAATATATTATTAAAAAATATTATATTATATATAAATATATATTATAAATCGAAATTGAAATTAATTTTCCGATTTTAAATTTCGATTACGAATTTCAATTCGAAATCGGAATTACCGATTTCAAAATTTATATTTTCGAATTCGATCCTATTTCAACCAATTCGAAATCGGAATTACCGAATTCCATTTCGAATTACCGAATTTGAACTTCCGAATTCAATTCGAAATCGGTAAATAAATTGAAAATTTTCGACTTTTCACTTATACTCATTATCCATTTTACTCAATCCAAACCACCCATTTTGACACCTCTACTTGCAAAGAAATTGGTTTTACGTGGTAGGCATCAAAACTGACAATCACTGGCTGTAGAAAGAGATTGTGCAGACTTTGACAAGCCCATTCAATAGTTCTTTTCCTTTTTTCTTTGGGTTTCATTTCTTCTGATCCTTTCTATTTGTCTTCACAGCAATATCAGAATACTAGTCTCTTGATTTTTATTCCCAAACATCTCGAAATAAAGTACTAGCAACAACTTCATTTTAGCTTTTCATTCATTTATTTTATGTTTTGATAAGCTTGCTTCAATTTACTTATTGCAAACTTGTCTAACTTGATCTTCTTTAAAGGGCACCCTTTTCTCAATTTGTTCCCTTGAGCATAAAAATGTGTCACAACATCCTTATCAAATCTGCGTGAGGGGTCAAACCGATAGCATTGTATAATTTTGGAAGATACAATGTGGGAAATGGTTTTCAATGTTTTACTAACAGGTGTATTTTCACTTTTTAGGATCTCAAATCTCAATTCAGAACGTTGAATGCTAAAAATTCACATATGCTAATGTAGCCATATCACTTGGTCTGTCAGTATCAGGGATTGCAATGGTAAGCCCCATGACAGAATAATGCTTGTTTCAATTTAGCACTCCAAATTACATCTTCGCATATTAAATTCTGTTTTCCCAGGTAGATCAAGTGACTAAGTTAACTTACACAATATCAACCTCTGAAACAGCAGGAGATCTAAAAAACATCAAGAATTAAGCAAATAAGGTTCACATCAAGCACCAAAATTGCTATTATATTGCCAAAAGTTCTTCCTAAACAAATGCTACAGGAACAATATGTACAACAAACAACTAAGAGGCAAAATTAGCAAAGGAATGGTCACAATTTAAGATGAAAAAAGTTTTTCACATTCTATTCACAGAGGTCCTACATTGCTTCTGGCTTTCCTAATGCGGGTTCTAGCTCTTGTGAACCTTAAAACAGTTGCAGAGCACAGAAGCAGCTTTGTTTCCACCGCATGAGCATTAAATGCTTCACAACTTTTCTCTAACCGCCTTCTAAATTTCAATCCACAGAAGAACTAGTGTCTGCAGTCTCGTCATCTTCACTAAAACTAGTTGGCATTTCTGCAGCGGACCTAGAGAATGCATAGATGTAAGCAAGATAAAGCTTTGCATAAAGGTGAAGCTACCAATATACTAGACAAGAAAGCACATTTGGTCATAAATAAAGTATCACAAAAGCCACATTTAGCGGTGAAACTTTGGAAATTCAGAAAAGAAGAAGAACTGCACATGTCAAGTCCTGGTTACAGTAGTTGATCCCCATAAGGGAGAGGGAGAAACAGAGACAGACACTATGTGCCTGCTACATAACATACTAAACATTCATTTTTTTCTGTCAACACTCTTATGTGTATACCCATATGCCTCCAATCAGTGGAGTACCCAGATATTCATCAAAAGACAGGCTAATAAATTACAGACTAAGTTCCGGAAATAGCTATATAAACCTTGAACAAATTCCAGAAGTCACAAGAAGAGAGAGCAATGCACACAAAAGAATCCAAAGAGATAACTTCCATTCAAGTTCCAGTAATTGTTCAAACCTTGGAGCCTGATTTGTCCATGGTGGCACTTCACTCCACGACGTTTTCTTGCTGTAATGCTCTTGAGGAAGTTCATTCCCAACTCTTTTGGCAGACTAGATATCGAGCAAATATCATAAATAATCCACATGTCAAAAAAAAAAGAAAGAAAGAAAGAGAGGACCTGCGTAGGGAAAAGCTTGGATCAGGCAACTTACTGTCAGCCCATTCTTAGGTTGAACTGGATCAAAATTACCATTTAGTGTTAACCTTTCTCCAGAGCTTTTGGCTTCCTAGACATCATTGTCAAAGTAAAAGGAGTCACAAGGGAGGAAATATCAATGATATATGCAGCATGAAGGGGTATTAACTAAACCTTTGCCATTCTTTTAGAGAGGCCTTTATGCGTAAAATCATCATATTCAACACCCTTAGAGGCCAAGTTTGATGACTTAGAGACAAAGTGCTCTGCTGGGGCCACATTGGAGTTCATATCATTATAGTTCTGCAACCAAGGATCTGCATGATCGCTATCAACTCTTGGATTGTGGAGACGTGAATGACGATGTCCAGAAAAAGAATCCAAACTCATCCCTCCATCACCATACTTAGCCTTTCGATCAGGATCCTGGCTATCATAAACACGTGTTTTCCTTGCAGAACCCTCATGGATATCCATAGATGAACTTCTTCCGGCATAAAAGTCACCATGCTTGTGCAAAGGAGATTTCTGCTTGTATTTTGGGGGAAAACAGTTTTCAGAACGATCAGGTCCATGTGCCATTTTAAATCTTGTTCTCTCCATGTCTGAGTCATGAGAGCTTGCCTTTGGGTTGTACTGGGAGCCCTGTAAGGGTATTCAAAGATATCACTGAGTCTCAGTCATGGGTAATATGTGATTGGATAACTGTAAATTGGAGATTGACAAACATTTAAGAAGGAATTTAGAGTACGAAAATTGTACATTTTGCAAAACACAAACTGCAACACAAGCATAGAGTAGTAGGTAGGTAAACACACATTCCCGTGATCAAAGGAGCCTTGTTTGTCAGTTTGTCATTGGTGAAAAAGGCATAATAGGAACTTACAAAGAATTCAAGCAGACTCAAGACAAACAGAAAGACTAATAGAACAAATTGTCAATCATTCACAACTTCTCAATGGACAATCAGTAAAACTAAGTTAAGAAGCAAGCTGGTTTGGCTTTATTTACATTGCTCTTGAGAGCAAATTACAGACTGTTCTGGAAATTCAGTGTCTTAAAAGCCAGCCTTCACGGCATACAGCCTGGCAAAGTAATCCATCATATGAAATTTCACTAACAAATAAATAATTCAGGATAAATGCAATAAATATGAAATCTAATTAGCCAATGCAGAAGTTTCCATTGCAACCTAAATAAAGTGACACTCTTTCTTCACATCAATGCATTTGACTGATGAAAAATCAAATTTGTGTGAATGCATTATGAAGCACCTGAAAGGTGTTCAAATACCGCTGTAAACTCAGGTGATCATTGCCACAAGGACATGAGCAATCCTTAAACACAGCAGCTGCCTAATTTGTCAATTATTCAGATTGGTGAAATTGTGCAAGTTTATTAATCCCTCCCACCCCCCCACCCCCCCCGCCACCCCAAAAAAAAAAAGAAAAAAAAACAACAAAAGGGAGTAAAACTTTTGATGTAAAGAAAGATTAAGAAACAAGAAATCTTCATAAAAGATTAAGAAACAAGAAATCTTCGTAGTCCCACTTACGCTGCCCAAATTAGAATTCTTGTGAACCATGGAATTTTCTGGTGAGCGGGGTAGAACAGCCTCTTCAGCATAATAAGATTCTGTCATTTTGGTAGAATCTGTAAATCAGATATTCAAAAAGAGTAGCTCAAGCAACTGAGATCTACTTGCCAAAAAAGTATACTATCCACTCAACAGCAACAGAGCATCAGAATTCGGATGTATTTATAGACCAAAACAGAAAGAAATTGAAAATGTCAAAGTAACTTCACTAAACCAACAGAAAGGAATCCAGAATTTGATTCACATATTCAAGTGTGTTGTTTCAAGTATTAAACTGATTTGACCTATTAACACTAACAATTTACTGTAAGTGAAAAACTTTGCAAACCATTTATGAAAAGCTCTAGCTAACATTTAGTTGAAAACAGGTGTTGCCAGTTCAAGGCTAACACTTCTTGTTTGTTGAGGCTCTGACTGCAGATTGCCGCCAATAATTTCACTGTAAAAAAAGCAAAACCAATCATGTGACAAGCACAAAAGATGCACATGTAAATTTAGGCCACAGAACAAGCCGTTTCTTCATTTAACAAAAAGATGTGTGCATTTACTCAAGATGGAACAGGAAAGCATTAAAAATTTAGAAGAAATAGAAGAATGGTCTGACAATGCCTTATCAGCACACTTCAAGAGAAAAATAATTGGACAGTTTCATCGTATCAAATCCATTGTCTGAAAACTGACAATATGCTAAATCCTGAGTGTAAAAAAAGATCTCAAAGAAAAATTCTTATACAAGAGGTTATTAGACAATTAATATCCAGAATTGAATAAGAGTGAAAATTCAGTACTTATCTAGCACTAAGAGATAGGTGTGAAAGGTTGTGTTCTATATAGTTAAATAAGAAAAAGTTGGCCTACCAAGCAAAGATATATAAACATCGTAAGTGGCACATTCAACAGGAGCTCATCCATATCTCCTAGTGGCATTTGGTAGTCCCAGAACTTAAGTTAGTTCAAGCAATCATAAATCGTAACTCAATGTGTTCAAAAATATCAAATGCTCTAAATGCTCTAAATATTTTTAAAACATGTGAAAAATGAGTCAACAAACATACATGCCACCTCAATATTTAATTTAGCTGCCAGTGAATTAGTTCTAAACCTGACACAAAAAACTTCCTTTGCATCAAAACAAGTTGATGTCCTAGTATGATTTAGCTTAAAAATGATATCTATAAAAAAATGTGGGGTTTGACAGAATAGTTTATCTAAACTTAAGAAAAA